AGCTCGCATTTTATATCGTGGCTTTTCCGAGTCTGAGCGCTAATGCTGTCCTCCATTATGCTAAGATACCTTCCAATGAAACCGCCTTATCAGTGTATACCTCAGTATTAGTGACTGACTCTGCTAGATTCACCTGTAAATGAACTACTATTTCAAAGAACTTTGGACTTCTTCGGCCATAGTTGTCATGATATTCTCGTTAGTAGCAATTCACCAATAACAAATAGTTCGTTACACTTATTTCTTGATCGGTTAAAACATCATATAAATTTTAAATCAAAAGCATGAATGAAGTTATGATAAAATAATTTTATTTATATTATTAAAGAGAAATGACGTATTTTTGAATTGAAAAGCTTATTTTGTGCTAATGCTTTCATCACAGTACTGGTTTTATTTTAAATGGAAAAGTGCACATTTAAATTCGAAAAGACTACCACCAAGTTTAGAATATTACGAGGTAATTTCTCCATTATTGAAACGAATGAATGAATGAATGCTCACGGAATTTTGTTGGAATACGAAGATATGTTTCTGAATTGAGACGAGCTGTTCTCAGGCGAGTTCTGCTGCAATTATTAGTATAGCACTGACATTATATTTTTACTTCATAACAATTAGCACTTACGTAACAATTAGCACTTACTGTTTGAACAAATATTTTTATTCTTAGTGCTTTGATGAAGTATTAGTTCAAAAAGAGTATACATAAATTACAATTTTAAAAAAAGCAACTTAGTTTAGATCATTTCATGAATAGACAATGCATGAAAAGACTTAGCAATAAATACTGTATAGTGAAAGAGGGAAATGGAATAAAGATGGGCGTGGATCACGAATTGTCATTTGAATCTTTCAGAAATGCAAGAAATATTGCATTTGTCTCACGAAAAGCACAATTAACATGAAAACTTCTGCCAACTTAATACAAAATCACATACATAAATAACAAATATAACTGCTAATGGTAATATTAAAAATAATCGCAATTATCCTACTTCACTCTAATATTTTAGTTACAGCTTAGCTATGCATGTGATGTAGTGGCAAAATAACGAAACAAAAGATCGCAATCGATCGCAATTGCAAATGCAACTGAATAAATATTCTTTAGATTGAAGTCGCAAGAATTTATCAGCCTTAAAAAATACAAACAGATCAAAATTTTTCGCGAAACTTCTTTGCCAAATGAAAAAACATTTCTATGCATGTTTTAGTACTGCGATAAATAAGCTAAGGAAAAGAAAGTTTTTGCTTTCATGCTTGTGTATGAAAATAAATTCTCTTCAATACAGTAAAGCTTAGAATTTGCTACAAAAGATCTTGCTATTTTAGTGACAAAAAAGGAGCAAAGCAGAATTAAAAATAGAACAGAATACTGTAGGCAAGTAAAAATTCTGTGTTTTTATCTGAAGTAGAAACATGTTAACGTTCGATCAGATATCATAAATATCAGCTTTCATTTATCAACCATACAAATAATTATAGCAATAGATTGCAATTAATGTACTGTAATAATAATATGCGTAGTTAATCAAATAAGTCAAAGGTCAATTGGTAAATTTGAGAACTAAATTTCTGGTGAAGATGTAATATCTGCTGCTGATAAATTTGAGCATCACATTAACAGATATAATACTGGTTATAATAGTAATACTTGGTAATAACATAGGCGATCACTAGAGTAAAAAGATAATTATTGAAGAGAAAATGAATGTTAAATGGAAAGTTAAAAAATGCACTTTATAGTTTTTGTTTTAGTTAAATTTTGTTTAAGAAAGAGTTGAAGTTTATTGCGGAAAGTCTTCTGCTATACGTAATTGATTCTAAATATTGTTTTAATTACTTCTGATTTTTAAAGTTTGCATTGTACATACATATTAATATTTAATAAAATAAATTATTAGTTATTAAAAAATGCTTTAATATGATTTTACATTATGAATTTTCGGACAGCAAATAACTTAAAAATGACTGCTAACAGTTGCAGAAAGTGCTGTCTTATATTAAAAATTAGCTAAACAACCAACTTCACAAATATTCTTACATTCAATGTGTGTTAGAAGCTGCACTTTATGGTTTTGTGTGAATGTTAGCTATGTTTAATTATTTTCAAAACTTATATGCAATTTGTATGATACGTATTAAATTATGAATAAACTCACTTAGTTAATTTTGTTAAATGTTTCATTTCACTTAAAATAATACTTTAACAGTTGTTTACATAAAATACAGTGCGGTGTAACAAATTGATGTTGATAATAATTGCATAAATTACTGTAATAATTTACCGTAACATTATGAATACATTTATATTGCAGTGCTCAAATCAATAAGTTTTCCATTGGAATAAAGATTTTGTACAGACATATAATGACAGTTATTGGGTATTAAAATGGATTAATGCTCATCCGTTCACACATTACTGCGGAAAGTATTACTGCACATAAACAGATTTATTATATTTTTAATGCAAATTCAGTGCATATCTATCTGATATACAAAACATAATTCGATTACTTAGATGTTGTCAGTTTCTTTTTGCATATACGATTAGTTTTATATTTTAGTTTGTTGCTAGTAAAGTTAAATATGGTAAAAAATCAATGCATTGTACCATTACTCACGATTATAACTTACAGCACCAAGTCATCGCGCACAACGATACTTTGATTAGATGATTATAATGAAAGTGAAGATCAGTTCTGCACAAATATAGCAGTAAAAATTTATTCACTTATTTATAAATTTGTGGAAAATTCTTCTTTTTCAGAGTGTAGCAAAATCTCTCTAGCATAACTGAAGTGAATGAAAGTAAGTATTTAAGATCCATTCGAGCAGCTATCGTTCACATAGCTCTAAAGAGAGCAATTTGACTTCTAAGGTAATTTTATGGCAGTTAATAACATGAAGGTAAGTTGAGGGACTTTACATTTATGCTTCCAATTATTTTGTTTTTAAACGAATGCAAATGAGCTTTGATGGACAAAATCCAAGCTCAATAAGATTAGACTCCATCAAAACTTTAGCAAATAGAATCTTTGAACAAAGTATAATTCACTAGTATTTAATCTGAATTGAAAACTTCACGCTATCCACACATCTTTCAAATATGTACGTCATTTTCCATACTAAGATATATGCTTGCATTTTAAAATATTTGTATTGCGATCATTCAAGAATATATTCCAATAACTAGATCAAAAAGCAAATTAGGTAATGCTCAATCAATAAATAAACCATTGTTCATTTATCTAAATTAGCAATAACTTACTGTCAACTTAAAGAACTGATTACTCATCTGAGAACAAAGTAAATCATAACATTTTTGTCAGCCAACAAGAGCTATTTTCTAGCACTGTTTTTACGACGCAGTCAATAACTATATAAATCAAATAAAGAATGCAACTACTAGCAGCACTTAACAAGCAATTAAAAACTTTGAACCATAATAAACAGCTGACAAAAATACCCCATCTTCATCCAATTTGCTTAAAGTGTTTAAAACACAGTACACTAACTTGTACCCTGTTCAAATCTATGGGTGTTACAAACCTCCAATGTAATGGAGATAATAGTATCATTATGATGACAGCATAATTATGAAGCTAACTTTGAAATAGAAACCATCCATAATGATGCAAATTTGTCTGAAAATTTATGGCAAGAGCGAAAGAACAAATCCTCTTTCAGCAATCGACACACACTTCGTCTTTGTCAGCTTCTAATTACTCAGATGGAATATAATAACATACAACCGATGTCGGCCATTGATTTCAGTGAGTAAAAAAAACTTGTAAATTAATTAAATGTAGCAATTAATTGCTTAACGCTGCTTTATGTAATCAAATATACATGTTTCTCATCAGTATCTATCTAAAATAACATCGTTAATTGCTCAAGTGAATATACTGTTAAGCATTATAAGCCTTTTGAATGCTGAAAACTTTTAATTTTTTAAGCTGGCACACATAAGATGAGCATAAACAAGTTTAAAAATATATAACAAGCAGCTCAGTACATAGGAACTGAAATTCTTTCAACTTCTAGTATTTTTTAATATTCCAATATTTCGGAAATTAAAATAAATTGTACATATACAGTGGTGACATTAGGTAAATTACAAATGTGAGAATGATGAATTGCTAATCAAAAAGTTTTGTTAATCGATTTTTCGCTCCCTTCAAACGATTATTTTTCTCGTGAGAGGACGTACTAGAATCAGTTGCTGATACAAAAACGCCAAGCACATGTACTTGTTTTCCATCCGTTCGTATAAAAGTTGGCAAACGCGGCCCCCAATCACTACTATCATTTGAAATCCTAGAAACATCCTGAAAAAACTTAAATGTTTTCATTCATCGAAGTTTCTGGCATGAATTTTTTAACTGAAAATACTACTAATGATGCATTAAATTTATAAATTACTAGTGGCACATAAAAGACCATAGAATCCAGAAATGAAACTTTCAGTTTTAATTCATAATCTTTAAAAGAAACATCAATTTTTAAATTTAATGTTAAGGTAAGAGTTCTATGTCTTTCGTCTATAATATTATTCAGCAAAAAATTTTCTAATGTCAGTTAACTAAACTTGATAAGTATACAAGGCAAAAGTAAGAAATTTCAGTAATAAACTGTGAACAAAAACTTTCACTCACCGAACTTGACCTTTTATGGCCACCACCGTACACAGCTATGAAAGGATATGGCAAAAAACCAGTCGTTTTTGGGAAAACGGTAAACGAAATTTGTCCCAATCCGCTTTCTTTCACATGTAATACTAAAAGATGAATTTAAGAACTGGCTTCCAAGAGTGCAAGAGAAGAATATATTTTTGCTTTAACAATTCTAAATAGTGGAGAATAATTTCAAGCATGTTGTAAGTCTAAAGTTACAGCTGAGAAAAAATCAAAAAAACTTATAAGAACATAATTACTTTTATTTCTTTCGCTAACTGTCCAGAAACGTGGATCAGCATCAACACTTATAATTACCGTTTCAAGCCGATTTGTTAAACTCCGCAATGATACGATCATATCACAAGGGTTATCGACACGACAAAGTACCGCACCAGGTTGAGATGAAAGTATTTGTACACAAAGCTCATAATTTGGCTGCAATTCTGACTTAATAACTTTACATGCATACAAACTTTATGAACTTGTCTTATGAACTTTATGAAATTAAAATATGTAGGAGCAAGCGCTTAAATGTTTTGCTCGAAAGTGAAGAAATAAATTATTACATTTTTCAGCATCTACACATTTTATACAGCAGTCATTGAAATTTATTTCAATTTAAAAATTGCTAACAAAATAGATATAAGACAAAAGTATATTAAAAATAAGCAACAACAATTATTAACTAAAATACTATTCTGTACCAGTAATAGAAAAAATTATTTACCACAGATATTATAAAACATTATAATCAGAATTGAAAGAAAATTAACCGCTCTATAAGGCACGTAGAATTTTTCAACTAGCATATATTCCCGATCATAAATCGATTCCTCTTCTTTTACGATTCTATTTAGGGACTTGACTCGATACGTGAACCACAATTCGTAATCATCTATCTCATCTATTTTCCGCTTATTGAGTGGAAGAATCCAAACTAAACGATATCTACTTCCTGGTTGAATATCCTACAAAATAAAGCCATTAGTTTTTCATGATTTTAATTTTTCTTTATTTAGCTAAATTAATGCGAAAATAAGAATCTAACATGAAACCAGTTACACGAAATTAAAAATGATGTTGCCTTTAAAATCAAACATTGACTTTGAAGGCATCCCCATGAGGAAATTGGATGACTGAAACTTTTTTCCTTTCTATACCTTTTTAACTCCTTTTCATTAAATTACTGCAAACCTGACCTTGGCCTAATTAAAAGAGGATTGTAGACAAAAATTCGTTTGAAAAAGTACACTGAGCAGAGAAAGCTGAAATTTTTAAACGAAGATAGGGTTAATTTACCACAAGTTTTGGATTGAGCAACTTTGCTGGCAATCGAGGAGAATCGTCGCTTATTCTCATAAGTATGGCTTCTTGTGGTATGACCAACCACTGATCAATACCTCGCAAAACCACCATTTCGAAAAGCATTCTAAAATTTTATTGTAGTAAATGATTTTCAATAATTTAAACAGTTCAAGATATTTTATTTCACGAGAGAATTTAACCTTTCTTCCAGTAGAGAAGTACGACTATCAATGCTTATAAATGAGACAAAATCGATTGGAAAAATCCATTCCTTATCCATCCATTTCACATAAATCTGTACTTGAAATTATAGTCACCAAAAGTTTACACGAAAAAGTATGCAAGAAATGTTACGAATTGATTTATTCTGATCCTATAAATTTTAAGATTTAATTCTCAGGATAAATAGACTTAATCAGAAATTCATGCAAGAAAACCTGAGTGACACATGTTGGTGGATCGTCTTTTACTTCTTCGCCATTATTCAACATATTCCGTAAAATCTTACACAGATGAACCTTGATAACTATACTTTCAACAGATGATAAGTCCAATGGAAAGTTACAGACATTGGACCACTTTGATCGCGACACATCCTAAAAATTAAGACTGAAAAATTATCTTAGGAGTTCTTTTCTGAAACAGAAATTAGCAAATCTATGGAAATCATAGATTTATCATTATCAATAATCTCACAAATATTGTAAACTAAATGATTTGTTTTACATTTTTACTTAATTAGAAGACAACATGAATGACATCTAAACGATGCAATCCTTAAGGAAAAAAAAAGTTTTCAAATCCCATAAATATACGTATACTTCCATCACCACTTAAGTATAAAAGAATACTTTTTGCACCCATATCTCTGATACGTTTTGAAATGCTTGAGTTAATCACAATAATTATGTAAATCCGTAAGCTAGCGATATTGACATCAAAAATTAAGGGAGATTGAAATTTGAAATCTTTAGGAATACATTAAAAAATATTAATGAAAAATAAACCCAAAACTCCAAATCATTGTCTTCCAAAGAAGCTATATGTAAAACTGAACTGCCATCAAGTTTTTGTGAACCACGAGATACTTCAAACTCAATATGTTGAGCCACACCTGCTGTCAACATCCCTACAAAGATAATATTTAGTTAAGTATTTGAGTTTTTTTCCCACCACATCCATAACAACCATACATGAACTATTCTGTAATAATAGAGTTCAATAAGGTAAAACAAGCATCTTTACCTATTATAGTAGTCTTAAATTTTGTAGTACAGTTCTTGTCTGACACTTAAACTGAGAAGAACAAGCAGTTTTATTTTCAAATATCCGACAAGAACACACTTCTTAAAGTTCAGAAGTAAAATCTTGTAACTGATTATATGCCAAAAATAATGTGAATCTGCAGGACTTGAAATTTTAAAAATAAGATAGAGATACTTCAAAATTTCATACTTGTAGAGATATAAATAACTTTAACATACACAGTAATACGACAATAATTACTTGGTAATGATCTTAGTTTTACAGAAGCAGGTTTACGAAGTACAAAACATATTGGCCTACAAATCGCATCTATTTCAATTTCCCGAACATCAGCCCAATCACGTCGAATTACTAATGAACGACCAATTTCCAATTCAAAATGGTCAAAAAAATACACTCCAACATCTTTCGAAGCCCGAAAAAAGGAAATTTAAAATAAAATTTAAATATACTATTCCTTATAAGAAATGGTAAAAATCTTATCATACGAAAAATTAAAAGAAACAATTGCTTGAAATTGTATGAAAATCTAAAGAATAGATCAAAGAAATATGAAATAACAACATACCTTAGTTGTCAACGTAAGTATATTTCTACCAGGCTTCAATTCATCCGTATTAGAATTTAGTAGAACCAATGCATCATGCGATTCACTGATAACATCTGAGCAAAATCTTTGCAGGAATTCTTTCTGTACAACGGTGCTGCCTCTCCAAACACATGCAAAACGATTAATCCCATCCGTTTCCTATAGCCCTATTACTTCTTTTCAAAACTGTTTTATTTTAAGAAAAAGAGTTAACATCCTATTCTGAACAACTCCTGTGAAAAACAAACTACAATGATGATTTATTGTAAAATCCAGCTACATAGATAATTTTATTTAATAAGGTGATAAAACGGTGAAATGTTTAACAAAGACTTCTTGCTTTGCTTATGATTAACACTGGTAAACTAAAATAACTAGCACATAAGCCACATACGCTGTAAATGCATTCGAATTGTGGTTGCCGACCAGCAGTTGGTTTTTCTGATTCATTCTGAACATGTAAGTTGAAATGACAATGCAATGAAAAATTTTTAACTGGCTTCGGAAGATTACTGATAATTTCCACATCAATCTTTACTTCTTCATCTGGTGACGCCATAATAATGGAAGATACAGAATTAAAACCAAAATAAAAAGCTTCGTTTTGATTAGAATTTGAATACAACCTATAATTTAACTCATTTCATATTCAGATTGGATAATAAACTGAACCTACATAATGAAAAAATTTTCATTTAAAAAAAAAAATTTGTGCATATCTGTGGCCCGGAATATGTGCACAGCAACACCTTATTTTGGATATATTCCGCTGTTCAGTCAAATCCAGTAATTTTTCAAAATATTTTATCTGTTCCTCTTCTGTCTTCGCTAGTTTGATAAGTATGAAGTAGAAGTCCACCAGCCTAGAATTTCATTCTTAATAAATCCAAATCAAAAATATGTATTGAAGTACACAGAAATTACATGTTAAACCTACTCTCTGTCATGAATTCCTGGAAATTTTTCCAAATGATTTACAGTAAACATTAATGTTTCTCTAAGCAGCAATTCTGGTGATCCATCTGATATTAAATTTGATACAAAATTCAACAAGTAGGGAACAGCTCCTTCTGCACGATCTGATGCTCTGAATTAATGAAGTGAAGATTAAAAAAGTTTAATTATATGAAAAAATTTGCTTTTCTAACAAGCTCCAAATTGCTCAACTATTTGGTATTTTCATTTCAAGTGAACTAAAAATCATATTTATGAAAATAATCTCCAATTTATTCGAGATAAAAACTGAAATCATAACATGAAAACAATAACAGTGATAAGTCTCATAAACTAAATGTTTCTTTTTTTGAAAACGATATATTCAAAAAAATGTACTGAAGAACTGATTTACACTAATCAATCATTTTTTTCTAATAAAGGAAAAGAATAAATGTACAGCAGAAATTTGGCCAGCTCCCAACCAACTACACGTGCTTTACGTCGCCATCCAAAATGCTTTAAAACAGCGATAGAACTCTCGTGATATTTTTGCATGTAATGTGAAAACTGCTGTTGGCTAGAAAGAAGTTGCCTAGAACAGCAAATAGTAGTTTAAAGGCTCAATCACCAAAAGGCTTAAAAATTTTGCATTCTGAGTATTGACAAGTGCAAACTAAAAAATAAAACTATTTAATCGAAAGAAAAAATAAATAAAAACACCTTATTTCAGTGATGGCACTAGTTTTAATCGCTTCTTCGCCACATCTGACAATTCCATCTTCGAACCACTTTGTTAATCTTCCCCAATCAATAAAATTCCATTTTTCGTTCAGTTTCGACATCTTAAAAGATCAAATAAAGGAAAAATGAACCCAACCATTAAAAGTTACAGCCAATTTTCAAAAATGTTTTAAAAAGAATTTTATGAAGCTCCAAAAATGAAATAATTTTCTGAGATTAACACACAGCTTGGCAATTCGCCCATCTTAGTGCACAGGTAAACTGAGCTGCCTGTTCAACATGAGTTACTTCTGTTAGCAATGAAGTTATCTGCAATGTTTCCAAACAAAATGCAATTATCCAACATTGCATTTTATCGGAATCCATCGGAAGCTGCAAAAAGTGCTGAATAAAATTCTTAGACACAAAGTAATCAAGTAATTCCATATATAATAGTTCTCAAATGCTTGAATAACTTTTGAAAATTATGTCCGTAACTGACTATCAAACTGTGCAAATTTAATTCAAATTATGACAATACGGTAAAATAATAATGCTCGGACATATAAAGTTAAAAAAGAAAAAAATCAAAAACTTCAGGTAATACCGACGTTTTTACAGAAGATCACAAAAAGAGTCACGAATGACTACGAACTATTTTTCAGCAGAAAATTTCAACAATTTTTCAACTTTTACAAAATAATATAGCATACTTTAAAAACTGCCATACATTCACATATAGCATTCAAGCAATGCTGGGAGTATCGCAAAAGCATAATTGTAAATTCAGTTTCCAAACTCAGAGAACTAATGTCGCCACTTGTTGAAGTTTGTTGCAAACGTTCCTCATATAAGCGAATCACATTCTGAAAACTCTTTCAAACAAGGAATTCAATCTCAAAATCACTACTTTCATAAATAAAACAATTAAAAAGACTGATCTTGATTTTTTTTTAAACCTGCCAAATGATTTGGAACTCTTCACTGTTATTGAGATAAAGAATTACATGAATCACAAAGCATTACATTATAAAACTCTGTTTGTAAAAAATTGTACACTAAAAGTTAACATATTATCGCTTAAATAAAAAATGAAGTAATTTGATTTCCTTATTTATCGCTCAAAAATATTTATTGCATCATTTTTTCTAAAAATTTTCAAATATAAGACCGAGCTCCACTGATAATATACTAGTATGATAGATAAAAACAGTTATAAAATTTACTGGAGAAAACCTTTCATACCACGATTTGATTTGCCAAAATAACATAGCGTAACTCTACAATTGTGATATCATCCCAAAATGTTTCGCATTTCAACATTGCCACAAACAACGGACAACCGAATGATGTTGTAGACACATGTTTTGATGATTCCAACCACTTGGGTAGCTCTAAAAATGTAACACTTACTGAAGATAGAAATCACTTCTGCCAGCGGGTACATATTTAAAAAATTTTTTTCCTAAAACTAAAAATTTGAAACTGTGACCTTCAGATGAATAATGGAGAACAAATGAAGATAGCATAGCATCAAGCTCATCGAACAATGCAAGAACTTGTTCAAATATGCCTAAACTTTCGTAAAGACGTGAAAGACTTATCTGAAATCAATAATTAACATGCACATGTATTTCATGACAACAGATGTTATATTACTTGTTTTACCATTATAATGAATCAATAAATCATGGAGAAATAAAGTCTTCGATTTTATCATTAATATAAGAAATTCGAAGAAAATAATTACTTGATCCCGACAAAAAGCAATGAAATCAAAATCAGGATTTGAGAACTGATCATTTCGTTTATGCAGACTGTTTTCTTGGCTAGTAACATAATCTTCTAACGAATTTAATAAGAATGTTTGAACAGCACTTTGCAAGGTAGTCATATTTGAGAGATCCTGGATTTCAACAATCCTGAAGTGTGGAAATCTAATTAAAATAATGTAATTACTTGCAAAAAAGGAACATAGAATCGAGGAAGCTGTACAAAGTCCAATGGCATGTATTCTATAGTCCTAGTGAAGAACTATTTATGTTTCAGCAAACATATCCATGCTTTTGTTTCAAGACTAATGCATCATAATGCATGGCGAATGGTTTGCCATTTTGAACTAAAAGCAGAATACATATTGCGTGTGAATTGTTTGCACAAACTTAAACTTGATGAACAGGATATTTAAAAAAAACTGAATGATACACAATTGAAGATGAAAAATGAAAATGAAATACCCTACTAACCTATTACTGAATTTTGCAAAATCACTTTTAATTCGTTCAATAACCGCTCCACGATTTTTCTTTTCTCGAGCTTTTGAACTGTGAAATGTAATTAACCATTCTGCACCTTCAATTTTGTTCAAAATGGCAAACCATTCGCCCAAATCGTTTCGGTATTCACTGCGATATTCTTCCACAGTCTGAACTAGCATATGGCATATCCAAAACAATTCATTCAAGACAGACGAAGTTTCAATTTTACTACAACTTATATGAGAAAAAAAAGTTGTTTACCTTTTTATAGTAGACAAATAATAAAAATATTTGACTTGTTTTTAAAAATATACCAAAGTTGAACTTCAGAAAGCTTTATTTATACACTTAATTATACTAAAAAGCAAAAAAAAAAATCACCGATGGATCTAAGAAAAAGAAATGAAGCATTGAAGCTTCTTCCCACTTTTTCTGTTTCGTCGATTTATAATCAATTATAACATCTGTCGAAAATGGAATGAACTTGAAAAGAAAACGTGCATGAAGAGGAAGTGAATATTGTCGTGAGCATCTGAAGCTTGGCGAATTATATTTTTTCAAATAAGCAAACAATGCTGCTCCCATAAATTCGTTTTAAAGCGTACAAAAAACATATATGATTCAGTTCTTTCAATTTTATTGAAGGCATCATTCATTTTTACACATCTCTTGACACCATAATTGCTTTAAAAGTGTGTGTATTGCCAAAACTTAATTGAAAAATTATTTTTAAAAGTTCAATAACCTCTTCCACAAAGCAACATTTCGTTCAAAAAAATTCGATAAGCTTTTGCAACAAGCTTCTTGAAGTATCTCATTTCCACGATCTAAAATCAATCATGTTGCTTCAAATCGCTTATTGTGAGAAAAATTAATGTTAAGTTTACTAAATTTGGTAAAATTTTAAATTCAATGCTATCAAATCTTGCAGAACTGATGTATGAGAAGTTAGTAGAGGGATAAAAGGTACTTACATGAAAATTTGATAGAAGGCAAATGCTTGAGATCGATTAAACTAGCCAAATTCATAAAATCTTGAAACATGCGCAAGTTTATAATTAAATTAAATGATTGATAAAACAAAAATTTGCAAAAAAAATAGAAATGAGCTGAAGTTTAAATCTGAAAATCTTGAAAAAACTGATCATTCGAACAGTTACAAATAGAGATAAATGTGCATATGGATCTGATATTACCAAAGATAGTAATTTCCGTTGCTGTTCTTTTTTCAAAAAATTAAAATTATTATTGATTATAGTGCTTGATATTTTTGCAACAAAATTCTTTATTAAATGATAATAAGAACGAATCGCAGACAATATTTTGACTATCAACTGATATAGCAACAAGTAAATTCATCTAACAATATTGTTCTCATTGAAATGAAACAGAAAGTAAACTTTTACAACTTATTTTTTATACAAATATAATGATATGATTATTGCAATCTGAACAATAGTTAATTTTTTAAACAGATAAACAAGTTTGTGAAAAGAATGCTCTGAAGTAATCTTAGTATAATTCCTCATTTTAAAAATTAAATAATTACATTTTAACAATAATATTGCAATTTGAAGATTAATTAACTAATAATGAAAGAGATCCGGTCACTAAATACCTGCTATTTGCGGCTCGGCCTCAAATCTAACAATTCTTTAAATCTTTCAAATTCTGAATATGCAATGCAAAGTGTGATGTGATTGTATTGTTTTACAAATTACAGGTCTTAAACCAACTCTCTTCCAATTTATTCAAATTTTATATAATAATAAAATTTTTATCTTCTCAGTGTGTCTATTTGAATACACATTTCATTATCTCTAACGTTAAGCGATATTGCATTGAATAGATTTTCATTTTCAAAAATATTCGCTGCAATTTCAAATTATTTATAAAAATTGAATGAAATTAATGCAACAAATAGTATTAAAATTTGACATAGCTTTTAGATGAAAGAAAAAAGAAATCATTTAAAATTTTTAAATTTTTAAAATTTTAATTTCTTTCTTTCAAATTTCAATACCCTTTCAAGCACATAAGTAAGTAATAATCTTACGATAAATCAGTCTGTTGTCATTTAATTTCGGCAAAACTTCAATGTATTTAATTGATTAGATCAGAATATAATCTATGATATTAGTCTATTACTGTTAGAATAATTTTGTGCATACGTAACAACATTAAAGTTAGATCAATCAAATAGGCTTACTTTATCTTATTGCAATAAGCGATATATGAATGCTATTTTAACTGTTACACACGTTTACTGCAGTGGAAGTAATTTCAGAGTATGCATGAGTTCTATATTAATCACATCCTAATTTGTTTAAAATTTATTACCTTACGTGCGGTATTACGTCTCTTGAACTATTTTTTATTCGCAGTTTTTGATGTAATTATCTCATCCTAAAATAACTATTTTAGCATTTAAAAATTAGAAAAGTTTCCGAAAAGTCACTCGAATAATGAATATTAAATCAAAAATATCTATTTTACAAGAGAATTATGGTTAAATAGCATCAGTGTTGAACTGTGCAATTGGATTATCATCATTTGATGATGGAATTAGTGAGGTACAAGTTTTTGTAGTACCATCCATCGGTGCTGAGTTCGTTGATTGCTGCTGTTGCTTATTTTCAATATCTGTTTGTTTTTTTGTATGTTTTTCAGGATTGGATTGTTGTTTGTAGTCTTGATTTGGATTATTGTAAACGCCAGGTCGCAAAAGACGTGATGATGAACAACGTCGTAAAGATAAACTAGAATAGAGTGGCGTACATTTTAGCATATCTTTCAATTGAATTGATTCATAGTTCTCGATTGATTCTTGAAATTTCCCTATCCACAATTCCTGTAATTAAATGTAAACAGGATAATTTTTTCAGGAAGAATATAGCCTTAGCAGTATATCAGTAGTAATTAAAAAGTAAAATAAAAAGTAATTAGTTAGAGTTAATTATTAGAGAAGTGAATAATATCTTACTTTGTCGTGCTTACTAGCTGCTTGTAAGGTGAATATTGACACCACTTGGTAGTATCTTGTGAGATGTATAATTACAAATGCAAATTTCAAGGACACTGAAAAACTAAAATTTTTATATGTTGCTCATTTTGATTTTATTCTTGCATCATAAAGCTAATTTTCAATTTTTGATACTAAATAAAATTTTTTACCACAATTCTAAATATAACTTTGAAACGATTATTCTACATGCAAATTTTAAAAAATTTGAAAAATTATGAACTGAAAGTAGTAGAATCATTAGAATCAGCATCACAGAAAACACATGAATCTAGTGGTATTGGTTGCTTCTGAACGATGTAATGTTCTGGTTTTGTTTGTTGGGCTGTTCCTTTCTGCAATTGAAAATAAATGCGTAAAAGTTAGTGAAAGTTATTAAAATTTCTAGTCATATATTCCGAAATAATTTTGGTAAATTGTAGAAAAAGTCATTTATTTATTAGTGATAGATTTTTGATGAAGACTTTATCAAAAATTAAGAGTAGAAAGCAGTATCAGTAGATAAAGATTTTTGATCAGCTTATTTAGGATAAGTGATTCAAAATCGAATATTTCAGAAAAAATTTCAGACGTTATCAAATTCAGTCATTTTAAGGAATTTAAATTTTTGAGATTAAAAATAAAGAAGAAGTTTACTCTCATTCTGGTGCACTTCTTCATTTTCGTCAGTACGAACATATCATTGAACAAAAATGCGTAGCAATCGCATGTTCTACCGTTTTCTGCAAAATGCATTAGAAACAAGGAAAGAGTCAATTGAAATTTTGATTTTAAGTGTCAAATTTAAATTTTAACTGGAAAACATGACATGAAATGTATCTGAAGTACTGACCAAGAAGTTCTAAATGACCTTCATGAACGAGCTTCCTTCTCGGATGGACTAGCAGATTCTCACAGAACTGTCTAGATAATGCAACTCGTAAAAACTGTAAATTAAGAGTAATTGCGTGTACATAATTCTATCATAGTGAATACAAAGATGTAGTAGTACGTACGCTTTGAAAAAATCTTAGTCAAATACGTGAAAAAATTATCATAATAAAGCTATATATGAATTAATTATCATTTGTCGAATTTTTACATCTGGAATGAATGTTCGTGGCTCCAATTCTATAATTGATGGCCATACCACAGAATTTTGCAGCTGTTGTAACCTTTCAAAATTATGTAACCACTGTACTGAATCATCTATTGATCCTGAAATGACAGTACTGAATCATCTATTGGTCCTGAAATGACAGTACTAGCAGAAAAGTGGATAGGAGCTTTGAAAAATTTTATATTTTTTGTACTTGATTAATCTACTCTAATTTTTGTATGAGTATTTTAATTATGGTTGTTTAAAATGGCATTTGTATTCTAGATGGAGGCAGTTCTTAAATAAACTTATTCCAGTGTTCAGCATTTATGCAGAAAAAGCATTGCCATCATGCTATCTCTTACAAGGTTTTAAACTCTTTTATGTCTGAATGAAATAATTTCTTTCCATTCAAATATTTATCGAGAAGAAAATGGAACTTCAGATAGATTAATTTGTTTACTAAAATACAAAATATGTTTACATTGATTCTTTCTTTGACTGAACTATTGCAAGCAGTTCAGAGCAAAGTAACATTTCGATCTGTTTATCACTCAAAGTTAGCACTCAAAATACAGTATGGAATAAAAACTTAGAAGCTCATGTAATAAGCATACAAAGCAAATACTCACTCAAAGATTCATTCATACTTTCGATGACTTTTTCTATTCTTCCCTTATCTTCGTCGTCTTTGGTGTATTTATGAATTTCCCTCAACAGAATCGGTAGTCTTGTGATTCGTTGCAGTGGTGCTATCAACAAATCCTCTAGCTGTAGTCGTTCACAGCGCGGGTCCGTTAGACATATCTTACAAAACAGTTTAGTAGTTTACAATGTCAAATATTATCACTATTGTATATTGCAACCAAAATAATTTAGCATAAATCGTGAAAAATGTATTATAGTAAAAATGTCAGTATTTACGTTAAATTGCTATATTATTTAATATTTTTGAACTGTAGTGCTTTTCCTCAGCTTTAAAAGAAGAGTAAACTGTTCGTGAAACTGCAAAAGTAATACTCGTTCGAATTCCGTAAATCGTTCGTCTTTCTCTCGGATTGACCCGAGATATTCCATTGTAGCTTTGTAATTAATGCAGTAAGCTTGATATGCTGATATTGTTGATGGTCCTTTGGAAAACTTAAATTAATCTATTTAATTTAACACAAACAAAGTTATTTCGTTAATTATTTATTTTACAGCAATTAAATATTGATTAATCCGTGAGATTCATGATTTAAAATTAGAATTTTTAATGGAACTGCATTTATAGCTAGTTGAAAGTGTATAAAATAAACATTATAAAAATCGTACTTCAATTGCAAAAATATAATTAAGCAAAATTGTTAGCAAATAAGTAAATAAATATAAAGCTTCTTTTTATTCTGAATTTTTTACCCTGTCAAATAATTTTACGATAAGATCAGTAGTATTGTAGTCGCCTTCGCCATCAGTATGAACTTCATTCATAATTTTAAGAAATGACTTACAGAAGGATCGACTGATCTGTAGCAAATCAATTATTACTTTTCTTTCAATCAATTATCAGAAACTCATCAGTAAATACAAATCTAATTTTATTTTTTAACTTTTCCACTTTTCATATAAATTTCATATAATTATTTAATATCTTTCCAATTTGTTTTATTTGCCTAACTTTAATCGTTCACAGCGTGGATCTATTAGACACCCCACTATTTGTAATTACAGAATTTATCGTGTGATTCTAACCCGGCATATTTGATCGAGATTCCCGAAAAGCAAATCAGGTTCTACTGTCAACAAACATCCTTCAACTTGGCATTTCTTTAATGGTTCTTTGTAAACATTTCTACAAAATGACAAATAAATGATAAACACTTTATATGTGCTATTAATTTTCTAATCTCATTCTTCAGTTTTTTGAATAAAAAAGCTAATATTCTCTCTTTGAATTTTTCTTCTTGAGTTACTTTTAAAAATATTCACAGTAACTTTTGAATCTTTTTTGATCTACAGCTACCTTTGATCTATTTTGTTGCTCTTTAGATCAAATTGAGTCATTTAACTTAATTGCAAATCGAAAAGACCGTGCCTTTTTGTTTTATATATCTTATTTTGTGCATATTTCAATCATTAATACATTTATAGCATTGCAAGTAATTGGAGAATAACCTTAAAACAAGAAGTTGTTTGTGAAGAAATATTAATTCACTGTGAAATAATTCCCAAACTGCTTGTAAGCGTTTTTTATCCATCGATTCTAAACTTTCCACAGCAACAACGAACATCTCATCCCAGCTTACTGGCTTCAATTTTGGTCTTTTCATTGCAAACAGAATTTTTCAAATTAATGAAAATAAATAAAATTAGAAATATTCACAGATTGTCAAGATTTTTTGTGCTCAACTATGTTATGCATAACTTCTACTTGGAATTAGATAGAAAATAAAAAGTTATTGAATTTGATTCCCTGCTAAGACTTAGCATATTGATTTCATTGGTCATATGACATATTTGGAAAGTAAATATTTTATCAAAATATGATGAATGTGTTTCTGATGCCATAAAGTTTTTGTGCAATGAAAATATAATGGATTGAAAATGTGACATATTTTTAAACATGATAAATTTGACTGACTTATAGATTTGAGTACCAGATGTAAGAGGCAGTATTTACGAATAAATGTAAAACATTGGGACTAATTATGCAAAATTGATTCAATTTTTGTAGTAAACACAAGTTATTCATTTTACATATCCATTTTGAAAATAATATTTGGATATTTTAGAGTGCGCAATAAAAATATTTTTTTAAGTTTCAAGTTTTTTATTAAAAACTTTTCTATGCTTTCACACATTATTTCTTAGTGGCTATTTGCATACTTTTTCAAAAATTGTCTATTTTTACAGTAATAAGTTGTAGAAATAATAATAAATTTTATTGTATTTTCATGTTGATTCAGTAAAAGAAATTAAAGTTTACGAGCAATTTCTCTAATTCTTCATCGTCAAATTCCGCATCACTAGAAGTTTCCAGTGCTGCCTGTACATGTTTTATTATCTCACGCCTTTTAGCTCGATGTGACCATTCATACTATAATTTACTCTTCTTTTACTAAATAATTTTTCATAAATAAGCATTTTCTAAGTTTAATGTGTAAATATGAACTGCATTTCAAATAATTACTAATAATTTTTGCAACAAAGTAGACTAAAAATTATTGCATGTAATAAAGCAATACTTATCATTCATTTTTAAAGTTCTTTTTGTGTTAAATTTAACATTTTTGCTATTTTTTAAATATTTTTGTCAAAATTTCAACTAATCGTTTCAAAATCCATGGTGATCTAGTCTTAGACTGCTCATTTGCATCAGCATAGAATGCTTGAGTTGCAATTGTTGCTCGTTGCAAATCTGTAATACTAATTTTGTGAGCATTGATGAAGTAATTTCAAAGCTTTGTACTAAAAATTACAAAGCCAAAATATTTGTATTTCATTCTTATTAATATTTTTCAAGCTTTGATGAAAAATTCAAAATAAAAATTTGTTAGCAAACAGTATTTACTCAAGCAAAAATTGTAACATTTAAATGAATTTTGTCAAATAGAAAATAAATCTTTTGCTTTTCATTGAGAAATTTTTGTTTGCAACGAATGCTTCACAGGAAAAATCACTTGGCTAAATTTGAAAATATAGTCTATAGTATTTAAATAAAAGTAAATGTTGCTTATTTAATTTATTAATTACTTTTTAAATTTAAAATAAAACAAATCCATACCTGTAAAATCTGAAATATTTTTTTAAAAGTCCATGCAACATTGCAAATTTCTATTTATTAAGCGTATTTTGGCCACAACCAAATAACAAAATATTTGTGATACTTTACCTGCCAACAGCCCACCACCTGAACTAATTGCCCGGTTGTATAGTTGTGATTCATTAGGAGAAATTTTTAAGTGTGGTACAATAATTACATTATCAGAGCAACCTTCCCTTTCTGTACTGCAAAATTTGCAACTTTTTTAATCTTTGAAAAAATTTTTCACAATTCAATGCAATTTATTTAATTTATTTTTTGCTAGCCTTTTGGTTGAATAAATTACATAAATTATATTAACGTTTTTTATGCATTTAAAAGAAATAATTTCTACAAAAAACGTACAGTTACTTAACGTAATGAAATCGATGTGCTAAAAATTGCTTGCTTGTCGTAATATATATTAACTTAATAATTTTCAATGTACCAAAGTAATTCACTTGGGAAGACTTATAATTCAGTTTAGAAACTAAATTAAATTATTAAAAAAAAGAAAATATTGACAAAAATTAGAACGCATTGGCGAAATTTGTTTTAGAAAATTTATCTTGCGCTTTTTATATTTACAACAAGTAAGCATTTTTTTATATAATATATCTTTTTTATTCAAAAATAATTGAATTTTATTAAGTTGAAACAAAAAAAGCATTTTTAAAATGCGTAAAATATGCAAAAACAAACTTACTCGTCTTGATGAACATTTGGCTGTAACAATAATTACAGTTACGATTAATAATTCTGTATAATAATATTTTTTTAAATAAATGCAATTTGTGTAAAATTTGAATTACAGCTTAGAAAATGGACAAATTTTTTGTTTACTAAAAAGCAAAAGTAACGAAATAATTCGTAGCTAATTTTTCTATTTCTTTTGAGCTGAAAATGCAATAAACGGATGAAATGATGAAGTGAAGTTGTAATTATTCTAGTACTTGAACAATTATTGAAATTAGCGAAACTTTTTCCGACAATTTTTTAAATAAATAATTAATTAATTGTCGCACCGTTTCGGGCACCAATGCGTGGCGCCGTGTCAACTGCTCTCTGTTCGGATGAATGGTTTGGATTTCTGTTTCTTCGTGCTGCAACACTGACACTGATACTCACAGTTTTTGATATTTCGAGAAATCTCATCACTTCGAATTCTTACCAATAAGAAAACAAAAACATACTTTGATTCTATTCTTCTGCGCATTGTTCTAACACTCACAAATACTTTCGATTTTTTTGTTATTTTCACTTTTTATATTTTTGTAATACAAATACTTTTCACTTGTAATTTTAACAGTTTACGATACAGCTATTGCATCACAACACGTAAAAAAATAAACTTTTCAATCAAATTTTGGACTCAGTTCAATTTCAGACTAAAAAATTATCGTCTCTGCTAGCACTTTTTTAATTTCTTTTTTCTAGTGAAGTAATAATTGCCAGATGTAAACTTCTTCACATGCTATTGCGATGTGATTGCATTGCTATTAATATTATTATTTATTATTTATTATTATTATTATTGTTATTTATCATTATTAGTTACTGTTATTATTAGTGATTAGTATTATTTTTCTATCAATATTGTATTAAAGTTATTTTTTAGCATAACTAGCATGCATTGTAGTACTGAATTGTATAAGAAAATTTCCCCGTATGCACAGTATGACAAATCACTTATAAAACTATTTAATTTCACTAAGCCTTGTTTTGTAAATCTAAAATGAGTTATTTCGTTTATTACTATTATTTTGATACTTTTATCATTTCCATTGCACTGAATGATGGAAATGCCTCGTTTTTTGTTTGAAACTGTTTAATACTAAAAATGAATGCAAAATAGTTTTTATATGCTTGGGATAGCAATTATTTATAATAATAAATGCAATTGTTTTACAATTTTCAATTGTAATTAAAGCATTTTATTTTGTATAACTGAAAAGTAAGCAAAGTTCAATGCAAACTTACCAAATCTCTTGCAAGCACTGAAAATTTCCACATGTACATAAATGTTAATGTGTGAGGAGTGAGTGAAGCAAATATTCTAAATTGCATTTCATTAAAATATTCTATTTTTATTTGCATTTGTTATAAGATATTTGTTAAATTTGAAATGCTCAAAAGACTCGCAGTTGTGTGAATATGCAAAAAAGCAATAAAAGCAATTTTAATAGATAAGAATGATGAAAATAATTGTGGAAAAGAGTAATTTAACTTTCGTTCCTACTTGTAATTACTGAAAAGTTTGTGGTACATTTGTTTTAGAAACTGAATATAGCATTGTATTAAATTATTAGCAGAGAAAGTCAGAAGCGAAAATAAAAAGCTATGCATTTCTATCGAAAGTTATATTCATCATTTACGCTATTTGTGTAGCTGAAGTAGGAATGCAAAAATAAAGATAGCTTGTATGAAAAATGCAATTTTTATTGCAGTTCTTATTCGACTAGTTAAAAATGTATTATTTGAAAAGTAAAAAATTAAGTACTTATTTGAGAATAAAAACACTACATGAAGCATATAATTTTGCTAAAAATTATGATTTTCTTGTCTTATTCAAAGTTTATTATACATTTTAGCTTCAATTTTGTTAAATAAGAAGGAAAAAGGGTAGCGAATATTACTGCTGATGAAAAGTTATCTATTTTATTTTTATTTTAGCCAACAATTTATCGTTGATTAGCTTTGCAATAATTTTTATAAATTCTAATAATAAGTTTGATGAATAGTTGTAATCAAGTTTTCTTACCATATGAATGGACTGCAAAAAAGATCCTATGAGAGTCTTTTATACTCTATACTTACTTTGTGTATAAAATTGATATTCAAATTAAATTTTAAAAAATTTTTGCAATTTATTTTGACGAATTATTTTGGTAGACGTTTCTTTTTCTTAATAAAATAGAAATGTGAACAATTTTCTCGTTAATCGTTTTTAAATTTCAGAAAAAGTTTCAGTAACTTTTTTAGCAATTTCCTTTTATCTAATATTCTCAATGTTATTAAACAATGCTAGTTTTAGGATGCTTTTTTTCATAGAAATTTAAAGTTAACAAAATTTATTTTTGAATATTAAATTTATAAACGACGCTGAAAAGCGTATAAATTTAATATTCAAAAGCAAGTTTCGTTGATTTTAAATTTCTGTGAAAATTTTCGATGAAATAAACTCACTATCTTGGCTACTGACGTTATTAGCTTGTAATTTAAATTAGATTAAGCTTTTTAATTATGTAAAAATTTTAATTATTGTAAGGCATTGAGGGAAAGAATCTCAGCTTTTTGTGTGTTATTTTTTCACAAATAAAAAAGAGGTATTTTTTAGTAAAAGATAAAAAATTTTCAAAAATGAAATTCAAAAGTAAAGCTAAAACATGAAAAATCTCTTACAAATATATAACAAAACTTATGACAGCGCCTAATATCTTAATTTATAGCAATAATTTAAAATAAATTTTCCAGTACCTTTGTGATATTACTTTTTTGCGTGTTAGAAATCTATTACAATTCAAGGCCTTTCAACACTTTCGTGTCTTCAAAATAATAATGTCAAAGTTTAGTCAAAAATATTATTTAGTATTAGAATACGTGATCTCAGATATGATAGTGCAATTTGGTAATTGTCGAAAAATATTTTTCATTTTACTTAAATATATAAGAAAAACTCACTGATGCAAATAAAATGGAAATTGATGAATTTGTAAGTAATAAGTATTTTAATATATTCTATACCGTTGCTATCATTTTTATTATTTGGCTTTATGATAAAATATTCCTTAGTATTAATTTATCCCAAACTGTCATTTGATCCATATTTTTATCATTATACACTTTTCATGAATGCAGCAGTTCATACAATACTTTTCTGGAAATTTACTATTATTATTCTCATTATTATTATTATTATTATTATTATTGTTTTAAATTAATATTATTAGCTGAAGGTATTATTATCTTTATCATTGCTCTTTATTTTTTGATGTTTTAAATACAATTATTGTTGTTGTTATGAGTAGTCCTATTATTACTAATAAAGCACATTGCTTCCGTTATTATCATCAGCTTTTCTTTTCCGTCACTTTGAACACTGAGCAAATGATAATTGTATGGGAACAAAGTCAGAGGAGAATAAAATTTGACCAATGATTCTGAAGTTTTGCCTGAACACTAATTAAGCATAGATGCAATGAAGCTTGCTGATAAGATATAGCCGAGAAACAAAGAAATATCAGAAGGACACTTTACTTCAATTCAAATCAAGCTTAGCTCACTCGTCTAACAATGAGCTGAAGGAAAATTCGGTGAGAACTAGCTCGATGCACACTGAATAAAGCAAATGCATTCTCTCCAAGTTCTCTTATTAATGCAAAAAATGGAAAACATAAAGTAAAGTTTGTTTTCGTTCTCACGTTCTGCCTTCTTTCCGTGTCAGTCTTTGGTTTTAGAAGTAGCGCAGATTGCATTATAGTGAATTAATTAGGTGGGAGTTTGAATTATTGTAAAGGAATTCAGAAAAAGAATCCGAGCGTTAAGAAATTAATTGTTTTTCAGCAATATAATACAACAATTTAAAATTAATTATTTTTGTGGAATTAAACTAAGATTTGAGAAAGAACTCTTAAAAGAATTAACTGCTTTATTTCCAGAAATTCATTTCTAAAATTCATTCCCAGAAATTCATTTCTGAAATTCATTCGCTCTCAAATTAAATTGAGGGAGGAAACACAAAAACGAGTGACATACTGAAAGATTCGACAGCAACTTCAATACATACGTTTCCATTAACCAAAAAAAAGTGAAAAATGAAATGGAAAAAGAGAAAAGTAGTGAAGTTGAAAGAATAAGTAAAATTCATTCAGTTTCAGATGTAATGAATACCATTGGCTCTTTAAGTTCTAATTACGAATACATTTATTCGAATGCCTTTAGAGATTTGTGGTTTCAGTACGCAAACGTTTGGAAAAGAAAACAAATTAAAAAGTGTTTAAGAGTATAATCAGAATTCCACACATAACTAATTTGACTTTTTGAAGCATTTTCATGAAATTCAATAAATTTAAATCATCCGTAGCATCTTTCTAAAACTTTTGAAAAATTGTCAAACGAATCTCAAAAATAAAATATTTAAATATATTTACTGTCTGTAAGAGATCAGTATTCCTGCAATGGAATTTTTACAAATTTATTTGACTTAAAAAACAACTTTTTCAAACTGCTTATTTAAGCAATTTAATTTTTCGAAAAATTATTAAAGATTTAGGCAATTTTTAAAATAAAAAAAAATTAAAAACAATAAATGGTTGCAACTTTGCAAGAGGACTAATGCAATAAATGCATTGAAAATATAAAGTAAAATGAGCGCCACAAAGTAATGCTTAGCATTCTAATTAATGCAAGAACATAAAGTACCTAACTTTAAATGCACATAAAAATGATATAAGTTGACAGTTTGCATAAAACAGAAAGGTCATACCGGTTTCAGTAATGGATTACCGCGTAGGTGGTGAAATAAAGTTAACGATGGTTCAGCCATAGCAATAAGTTCATCAGAAATGAAATCAAAACTCGAGAATTTTCAGGTTGATCAGGCAATGATCAATCGATCTAAACCGATCTACAATGATCTTCATTTATTATGAATCTGAAAATTGGAAGATGAATTTTTTTGCTTTAAATATTGCTTTGGTGGCAGGCGAAAATCAAAAATATATTCATAATTCAGAAGAAAATTGGGTTTTTAATATCACAGCTAAATACTGATAAATATTATAAAAAGTTCAGAGGTCATGCTTGCTAATTTAAAATTTACGAAATTAAAAAAAATCGCTGAAATAATATCATTTAAAATTTTTATCTTGATTAACTTTTTTTCGATTTCATCGAAAAGGAATAAATTTTCTTATTACTTATATAAATTTCGCACTACATTCAGAATTTTTAAGATGAAAGCTTTCGATTACAATTTTCTACATATAAAATTAATTATTTTTCATCAAATAAACTGATGTTTGAGAAAGGATTCTTGAAAGAATTTAGTTGCTTCATATTCAGAAATTCGTTTCTAAAATTCAGTCTCTCTGTGACCTTATTTTGCTTA